CTACGGACTGCGGACTGGGTATAAAATACGGACTATAAAATACGGACTGGTGAAATGTATGGTAAATAAAGGCACTTCTTCTTCTTCTTCTTCTTCTTCTTCTTAAGGACTCCCCAAGATCACGGGGGGTAATGGATGTGAGTTTGAGCATTACCTTTTTAAAATAACAGCGGAAATCGAGATAAGAAAACATAAGCTTATGTTTTGTGTCCTACTTCGCGGAGGAGTTGTGTCGGCTTTGTATCGCATATGTTCTTTCACTGACATGAAATGCGTTTACATTGTTTTTTACTGTCAGTAGCCTGGTTTCAATTAGCCTTAATTTCATCCCATTGCTTCGAGTCGTTTTTATGGCTCGATCGTTTGCCGGCGGAAGTTCCATGGAAAAGGCATTAAATTTGAGACTTTTCGCCAAATCATGTGACCTTCCTCAATGGCGTAGTGGCTATGTGAGGTCGGGTCAAACCGAAGGTACCGGGTTCAAACCCTGCTAAGGACCTTCTTTTTCCCTTCTTCCTTTTTTTTTCTTTTTTGTTTTGTCTTGTTTGCTTATTTGTTTAGCTGTTTTTTTTTGTTTTGTTTTTAAATATATACTTAAGTAACTGTTACTAAAATGCAATAAACAGCAAGAAAAGTATTGTGTTTCCAGAACAAGGATAGTATATTTATAATGATGATGATGATGATACCTTTATTAAAGTGTCAAACTGTAATAGCGGTATATAACCACTAAGTGGGGACACCAAAATAAATTTTAAAAAATAAATCAATTAATAAATTAATTAAAAATTAAGAAAAACTATGTACAGTATAAGCAAGTGAGAAATTCGAGAGAACTATATACAATATGTACAAATGTATCCATTACTTATAAAAAAAAAAAAAAAAAAAAAGAAAAAAAAGATTAAGAAGTGCAAAGAGAGCAGTTAGAGCAGTTATTGTCATCTAATAGCATGCTAAGATCCACTTTTCTGATGTTATATTTGAAGGAGGACAACGTGGAAGCTTTTTTCACATTACTAGGAACAGAACTCCAAACCCTTGGGCCCATATACCTGAGCGAGTGCTTTCCAAAGGAGACTGTGTTGAATCTGGGTATAGTGAAGTCATGATTGCGCAGTTCATACTTAATTGCAGGCTGTTCAAAGAGAGTGCTAATGTATGCTGGGCACATGTTGTTTTTAACTTTATACATGAGAATAGCTATGTCCTGTAGTCGCCGGTTGTGTAGAGTAGATATCCCAGCCATAGATAGTAATTGACCATAGGACGAATGTTTATCACAATATATAGCCCTAAGTGCTCTTTCCTGGATACGCTCTAGTCGTCTAGAATCACTAGCACGGCAAAAATGCCATATAAGGTGACAGTAGGTTAAATACGGGAGAACAGCTGCCTTATATAACTGTAACTTAGTTTGTGTGGGTATAAGGTTCCTGAGCCTCATGAGAACGCCTACCCGCTGGGCGCTCTTCTTAGAGATACTACTTATATGTTCATCAAAACGAAGATTGTTATCAATACAGACACCTAATAGCTTGAGACATTCAGTGGATCTGACTTCATGATTGTCAATCATAATACTGTCCATAGACTTCCTTCCGCAACCAAGTGCCATTGTCTGGTACTTGTCCAAATTTCCCTTTAGTAAATTAGCTCTGTACCATGAAGATGCTGACTCAGCGCAAACAGCAAGATCATCATGCACATCAGAGAGGGTGCTGCGAACGACATAAAACTGGTGGTCATCTGCATACATATTCATGTTCGCATCAACAGTATAAGTCAAATCGTTTTGGAAGATGTTCCAGATGAGAGGTCCAAATGCAGAACCCTGTGGGCATCCCCTGGTCACCCTCTGCCACTCGCTCACTACAGATCCTAGCTTGACCCTGTTATAACGGTCTGTGAAGTAGGAGCCCATCAATCGCAGACTTCTTTCCTCAACACCATAAGCTTTAAGTTTTGCAAGTGTAAGTGGATGGTAAAGTGAATCGAAGGCTTTGCTCATGTCCGTGGAGAGAACACCCACAACGTTATGCTCATCCAGAGCGAATTTCCAATTCTCAGTCAAAGATAAGAGAGCTGTCTCACAGCTATTGTTTTTCCTGTAAGCTGTTAGTTTGTCGCACAGTTTGTTATTAAAACCATAACTGAGTTGCTTGCTGAGTAATTGTTCAAAGAGTTTGTTTACAGTAACTTGTACAGTTATGGGTCTGTAGTTTCCCATTTTATGGGGATCTTCCTTCTTAAAAACGGGTGTCCATTCACCCCTTTTCCATCCCAAGGGCCACTCTCCGAGGGTTATGCATGAATTAAATAGTGACGTCAATGGATTTGTTAGCTCAGTAGCTCCAAGCTTGAGCGCCATGGGAGGGATGCCGTCCCAGCCTGTACTCTTCCTTACATTGACGTTTTGCAGCGCCTTTTCAACTTCAAAACTCTGAAGATTCTGAAACTGGAAGCCTTGATATCCTGTCATCTTCTGCGTAATATTCTGGACACTAGGGTGGGTGGCGAGAACTTTGTCATCAACCGCACTGGTGTCTCCAATCCCATCAGCCACAGTAGCAAAATATTCACACAAGTGATTAGAAACCGCACATTGGTCTCTACAGATGGTCCCATTGATACTTAGGCTGAGCTCATTTGTGTTGACCTTGTGCTTATCAGTCAGAAAGGGCATAAATGTCTTATAGAACTCACTCGGCTTGCACTTAAGCTTAGTGGCTTGCTCTTTCCAATATGTCCTTATTGCCTTTCTCCGGAGTCGGGTGGCCTCGTTTCTGGTTATCCGCCTAGCTTCCCAGTTCTCACTGGTTTGTTCCTTGAGATACTTTTTTGCTGCCCTCCTCTTAGCTCTTATGGCACCTTTCCATTCTTTAGTCATGTATGGAACATCCTGAGCCCTAACCCGCATCTTCTTCGTAGGCATATGTGTATTGACAATACTGGACAGAAGCATTTCCATAAAATTTGCCTTGTCGTCACATGAATTGAAAATTTCACTAACATGCCATGGAGCATACATTAGATCTTCTTTGTATTTCTCCACATCAAAATCCTTTAGAGATTTAAATGTTACAATCTTGCCTTTCTGGTGTTTTACCGTCTCATTCAGGAATCCATAAATAAGTCCGTGGTCACTGAGCGCAGGATCATGTACCCCACAATTCTCAAATAGTTCCGGGTGGTTAGTGAGAATAACATCGATCAAGCTCTTAGTGATAAGAGAGCCTCTCATTTGTATTCGAGTGGGTTCAGTTACCATACATTCGAGGCCCTGTTCCACCTCAAGATCAAGAAGAAGCTTTCCTTCAGGGCTGCTGGGTTCCATCCTGTTCAGGTTTAGGTCGCCTGTTATTATAACCGTCGGATATTGAAGGCTAGCCCAGTTGGCAATATGACTTAATTCCTCCTCAAGTAGAAGTCTGTATTTACCAGTAAGCTTCTTAGGCGGTCTGTAGATAACCAGTATAATGGCATTTCTCGATTTGAGGCCAATCTCCAAGGCCAAAGGCTCAATAGTTTTATAACACCTGTCAAAGGTGACTCTCTTGGAGAGTATCTTAGATGAGACAAACAAGAGAACACCACCTCCACCCTTTTTTCGGTCATTTCGGTGCAAGTAGTACCCTGGTATTAGGAACTGGGAGTCTGGGTATGAACGATCAATTTTAGTCTCACTGACAGCCATAATTTGCACCTTATTATTGATAATAATATCTTTCAGCTCATCAAATTTGTTCTGAATGCTGTTTATATTTAGGTGACATAATAACATGCCCTTGGCATTTTTCTGCCTTGCCGCATTTAGTAGGTCGGGACCAGTAAATGTGTTAGGTGTAGTTCCATTTTCTCCCTGATCAGTCAGTGTGATGTTATTTGTGTCAAGATCAGTATCCGAAAAACAGGCCTCGTTGAGCATCTCAGCATCCGAACACCTGTAGAATGGCAGAGCCGCCCATGTGCATCTATTGCATAGCCAGTTGTTCACCATTGATTTCAGGTACACACACTTTAAGTGAAAACATCCCATACAACTGGCACAGGAAATGTTCTTTTGGTTCCACCTAATTGTTTTCTGACAATGATCGCACTTTTCCGCTGTTGGTTTCGACCTGGATAATTGATTATTGGTGCTTGCCGCCTTTCCCTGGCAAGGCCCGGGATTTTTTTCCACATCACCGCTTAACAAGAGCGCTTGAGTAGCCATAGAATTACTGTAATAAGCAATGCGTGTTTTGGAATATCGTAGCTTACGCCATTTTGTGAATAGACCAGGATCTACTGTTCCATGACAGGCGCGAAAAAGAACAAAGGAGATGTTTTGATGGTTACGCTCCAACACCAAGAAATTCCACGCACTCTTGAATAAAGACCCATTGACTGCAGGCGTTAATTCCAAGAGCTCTTCATTGCGGAGTACTCTTGGGACGACCTTCCACTCTCGTATGCAAATACGGAACTCCATTACGAAATCTTTCCAATCTTGGACTTGAAACGTCCAAACGTCTCTTTTATAACCATTTAAATCAATTTTGGTGACTGCCAATTGAGAGATATTACCTTTAGTAAGCTGCTCGTTGAGTTTGAACACATTAGGACGGCAAGTTGCGGAGTATACAAGACAAATTACGGAGAGCAAAAATCCGTGTCTGACCGACATTGTTATGCATGAATGAAAAATGAATTTCTATGATTTCCTAAAATCCACTGTGGGAAAACCAGAGGTGATAACTAATTGATTATTTTCTAAACAACGTACCCACGAGTTGACGATAGTCTTTCTTTGATTCTTTCTCGTGATACATGAAATATCAAAGCTTATTTTTTTCCTCCAATAATAAGTCTAACTCTCGTATAAAAAACAAACAGACAAAACGTTCTACAAATACAGACAATATTTGCAGAGCTGTAATCTAATAATCGCCAGTTGAACAAGCTGAGTACGAAACATTTCATGTTCAGAGTTCGTAGAGTTTGTTTTGCGGCTGTGAATGGAAGTTAGATGTTGTTTTCAGAAACTAGTTGGAGGTGTTTGCACCTCTGACAAACGATATGAAGGAGCAGTCGTTGTTCCGCTATCTTCATGTCAAAAAGATATTTTAGGTCACACGCGCAGTGTTGGAGTTAGCGATATCAACTCTGAAGTTGAGCTTATTTTAGCGCGCGCATCAATGTTTTCTCCTCCGCGCGACATTTCGTCTTCGACCATTTGCCCATGCCATCGCTCTTCCCTGGGCATTGGCTGGTGCCAAGGTGCTGATCGATGCCCAGTACCACCAGGGCTATCAAAGCATGCTTCGAAAGAAAAACGAGAAAGGCGGACCCTGGAATAAGCAAGTCGGAGTCCAAAGCTATTTTAAAACAAACAGGTGTTTTTGTTGCGGTTGGCTCTGGTAAGTACACTTTTCGTGCTTACTTCTCTGTATTTTAATTAGCCGGCGAATGTAATCAGTGTACTAGACTGTAGTAGAAAAACCTTGCTAGCATTGCAAACAAAAGTGACCGGTGATTTGTTTCATTCCGTTGCAAAGGTATATGCCGTGACTGCAGGCCGATTATTGATGTTAAAGAAAAAACATTGGAAGATGTGCCAAAAACTACTCTGAACGTCGCAGACATTAGCAAGGGCATCGGAAAAATTATCTTGGTAAGTTTGATCATTTTGATGACTTGCATAATTCTGGCCCTTCAAGTATTTATTAAATTAACTAATTAGGCATCTTTTTGTTTAATTATGTTTTGTCGCTCTTTATAAGAGAAAGTCAAGTTTGCTCCACGCAATTAATTACTGTCAATAAAAATATGTCATAGGGATCCGTTTTGTTAGGAGTAATATTATCCACCTTGTCCCCTCCTAAAAAATAAGGAAAGCCTTTGGAAACAAGATAGTAATATTACAGAAACACCGATGAGAATGTACTTTAAGACACTATTTTCGTTTATAGAACAAGGATTCCCCACCAGTGCACAGCACTCCCATTACACCAGGAGGAAGTTTTTATCTTCCCCCGTGCGAAGACACATTCAGCGACATCAGTTTCGACGATTTACAAGTCTCTCAGAATAGGCCTCTAGATGCTTTGAATACATATTTGGTTTCCAGAGATGTTAGTCCCGTTAAGTCTCAGCTACAAACTTTGAGGGAAAAGACAAGTGGACGGACAAAGCGCTACTATCATGACGGAAAGCTAGTCAAGGTGTGGCAGCTTTAGTACAAGATATGACACCACCTGAAACAGGCCCCTTGTACCGCGCACTGTGTTCTTCAGACGCACTGCACAGCCAGCGCTCTGATGAGGAAGATTCAGATGAGGACAACATGGACGTGACGCTAATGGAGGGCCTTGCCGAATGTTACCAAGCTGCTAGTCGCTGGGAGATGCGCCGCCAGATACTTTCCATCATGGCAGATAAGGTGCGTTACAAAACACTCCTCAAGTTTATCCCTGGTCTGACCAAATATCGCTTCACCGAAGCCAAACGCCACTGTTTGACCTATGTAAGAGGAGCTCCAGTACAATCAGTAAGAGCACCTAAGACAGACGTTACCTTCTCACAGATAGAATATTTTATCGCGTTCATAACTGAAGCTCACAAATTGTACAAGATCTGCCATTCGGAGAAAAGTCCATAACACTTAGCAACAACGAGACCATAAGATCCCGAACGCTATCAGAATGATGATCCCTGAAAGGGTGGTAAAACAGTACCTGGCCTACTGCAACGAGTCTGGTTTTAAGCCTCTTAGCCGCAGTACTCTTTTGTGTACCCTAGCTGTCTGCCCTGCCTCTACTCGAAAATCACTTCAAGGCCTAGACTACATAAGCTCAGCAGGTGCGCAGGCATTTGAAGACCTGATTGACACTGTAGAAAGACTTGCGGACGTTGGACAAGGCATGGACGATCAGGAAGGTGTAGAGGTTGCCGCACATGAGGCCTGTCTAGAAAGTATTGTCAATGAGGCTGCGAGTGAGATTGCGCCTAAACATCCTATTGTCTATGACGCCTATAATCTTTGTGAAATGGTGTCCCAAAAGAAGCTGAATGAATTTTCCATTACAGTTTTAAAGGACATTTGCACTTCCCTTGGTATTGACACTGCAGGCATAACAGTTCGACGCAAGAAACAGTACATCGACAAAATGCAATCGCTTTGTCAGGAATGCGCATGTCAACAGTGAGGGGTTCTTGGACCATTCTACTGTCTTGTATTAAGATTTTGTAATTCACAAGCGAAAACTGAAAACGAGTTAGAGACAGAAACGAGTTGTGTTGAGAAAAGATAGGCACCATGTACGAGAGGCAGCAAGTCTTTTATATCGTAGGCATGGGTTTTGAGTTAAAAAGTTCAAAAATGTTCCGCCAAAGCCCCCTAGCAGATAAAAGACGCCGAAAAACTCTCCAACCCCCTAATGTCTACTCTTTGGTGTATAGTAACTTCATTCCATAACGTTTTTATTCTTATTTATATCACTAAAAAATAATGGGCACTTACATTTCACGTTCCTTATTAGTACAATGCAAGCCGAAAAGGCACATAGAAAGACGTATTTTCACAAATTCGTTTATGGTAGGTGGGTTCTTACTGTCGCCTTTAGGGTTTTGATGGGCTGGTTTTGTGGCTAAATGTACCAGTCACCAGCAGTTTTGCTACCCGTTATCGAAGGGCGGTACAAAAAACTTTCACCCTGGTATAAGGATGAGAGAAATCATCGCTATAACTGATTAAGGAAATGACTCGGTCCACAGGGGTTTGAAGAATATGTTTTGTTTTATTTTTTCTATCTGTTTGGCACAAAAAGCACGTGAATTTTTTTATGTGCCACTGCACAACTTTTCCCCTTTAATTTCTGATATGTACAAGCAATTATGTTTATCCCTTCGGTAAATTGCTGATTATTTTTAATGATTACGTTGAGCCAGGAGCAATCGGCTTCTGGTTAAACCGAAAAATTCTGGTCAATAATATAGAGACAACGTGCGCTTATTACATTGTTGAAAACTAATTTTATAAATAAAATTTCTTTTTATTTTTTTCCCACAATATCTGCATACATTTTTTAATGAGTATTTGCACTCCCTCTCCATGGCCTTATCACCAACTCATGAACATGCATGACCGCTTCACTTATTGCGTGACGTTAGCTAAACAAACAGTCCTTGAAGGAGGCTTTAGCTCAAGCGTTCAGCACGAGATAACCGTTGGTAAATGGTGTTTAATAAGAGTTCAAACAGGAGATCAAGGAAAATGCTTTGAAATTTACGGTAAAGCAGACTTATTTCAATCATAAATGCTCTTGCTAACATTTTAGATCATGGCACAGAAATAGAACATCCGAGTTGGTTGCTTGCAAGCGATACTAATTTTAATTGTCGAGATGGCTAAATTCAAAGATAAAATATACCCGGAACCAGATATTTTGAATGTCAGATGAGTATAAAGTTTTTCGTCATTTCTTCTGTAGTTTATGGGTGAAAAACGCTAAAACCAAGGAGAAATATCCAAGGTTTTTGTTATTTACGTGAAGGAATCGAATGTGTCACTTCTTTACACAGTTTATGCTGTGATAATATCCGGATTTTAGAGCGTTATTACTCGCTTCTGATAAAAAGCCCCAAAATATTTTTTATACCTGGCTAGAGAACAACATCTCATATTGTAAAAAATACTAATTTCAAAGCGATTGGCGTTTTACCGGATAGGGAAATCATACGGTGAAAAAGAGCGCCGAATTAAGAATTCCGGGCAAGCGAATTTCGGTAATTTTCGGCGGCCCGCCGAGACTTTGAAAATCAATCCAAATTAGTTTAACTGGTCTAAAATGCCTTACTAAGTGTTAAACATTTCATTTTCATGCTCCAAACAGGGTTAAGACTTGTGCGAATGAAACAGAGCGAAGTTTAGTGGAAGGTATGCTGCACGTTAATTTCGGGTGTTTTTCCAAAAACCTGGGGCATTTACGGTTTTTATTTTTTTTGTGGCGTTAATAAAAATATTTCTAGAAAAAAAAACCCACCACGTTTCTAAGCTCATCATAGGGTACCTTTAGACGAAATATGGAGAAAATTTATTTTTCATCATCTGCCACGAATTCTCGATCCGGCTCGAAGTTAGTGGACATTCCCTCTTAACATGATTTATTTTATTCATTATATTGATTCTGGAAAGATGGAAAAATACTGTTCTGCTTTTACCTTGTGATTTGTTGATGGTACATAAAACACTGTTTCTGGCTCATTTTCCTGGTCCTGCCTTAAAAATGCATGAATGGTTGCCATGTGCCCAGTTTCAGTTCCTTTGTCCAGCCTGAGATATTTACTGATCACTTCAGGGAAACAAAATAGAGTACCAGGAAAACCAAAGCAGACGGAACAACATCAGAGTATTTGGTATACCAGAATCAGCTGGCAAGACTTGGGAAATGGCTGTGTTGGCTGTGTTCAGTTGGAAATGGCACCGTGTTGAGCGTAGAAAGTCTGGAGGAATCAATCAACACCAAGCTGATGCAAAGCCTAGAGTTATTGTGTGCCGACTGAGTACTTGGAAGCAGAAAGAAGCTGTAGTAAGAAGGGCAAGAAAGGAAAAACCAGAAGGACTGTTTATTTGTGAACATCTTTCACAAGCAACGCTTGAAAAGAGGAAACCTCATTTGGAGAAGCTCAAGGCGGCCAAGCAAGCAGGAAAATCAGCATCTTTTATCTTAGATCGCTTGATCATTCGCCATAAGCCCTTCGGTTCTTCAAATGATTAAGATAAGTATAGTACACAATGTTTTTTGTTCGACTCATTAATGGCAGAATTACCGTTTATTCATTTAAACAAAGAAGACTTTCGTTTGGCTATGTTTGAGCAGTTGGATGGACCTATACGTTACGATTCCGATAGGTTAGCTAGCCTCAGCTTTAATCCTTTATTATCTGAAACCTATAAAAAATTTAGCCTTTGTAGCCATCATGATCCTAATGCTAATTTCTTCTCGGAGTTAGTTGACTGCGAATATTATACCGAAGAAAACTTCAATGAAATGTTGCATCAGAAAAATATATTAGAAGTCAATAATTGTTTATCGCTTCTGCATCTTAATGTTTGTAGCCTTCATCGTAATTTGGATAGCTTAACCACTTTGCTAAAGAATCTAGAGTTGAGGTTCTCTTTTATTGGTATACCTGAGACCTGGTTTCGAGACTCATCGCATCGTACCAATATTTCAGGTTATAATTTTGTCCACAATCCACGTAAAGATAGGACAGGTGGAGGTGTAGGTCTATATTTAGCGGACAATTTTGATTTTAAATGTCGACCTGACTTAGTTTTTTCTTGCACTGAATGTGCTGAGTCTTTGTGGAAAACAATAGGCCGAAAGAGAAAAATATAATTGTAGGTGTGGTTTACAGGCCACAAATCAAAATTTGCAAGATTTTCTGAATAGCCTGGATTCGTTGCTTGCAAGCATCTCTAAGGAAAACAAGATTTGCTATGTCTTAGGTGACTGGAATCTAGACTTAATCAACCACCATTGTCACGACACAACTGGAGAATTGTTGGAAACTATGTATTCAAGAATGTTTTTTCCATTGATCACACGTCCGACATGAATAACTCCCAACACGGCTACGCTAATTGATAATATTTTCACGAATAATTTAAATAACTTATCTGTTAGAGGGCTAATGTTTTGTGATATATCTGATCATCTTCCAATTTTCACACTGCTTCTTAATCAAAACAAGAACTTAAATAAAACTTCCATTTTGAGAGAAGAAAGATAGAGGCCCTGGTAATGAGGGGTTCTCCACTGACCTTACGTGTCGCAGGCTATGATAACGATGGGCCACTTTACGACATTTCATTTTGAGAAAAGAAATTTATTGTGATTTCAGTTCGACCCAGTGTTATCATACCAAAATAAAAATTAATTCGCATATCTACTAAGGGATTTTATTGTTGTTTTTTTCTTCTTCTTTTTTTTCGATCTCATTTTTTTATTATTTGTTGTTCTAATTTAAATTTCCTTTTATTCTTTTTCGGTTGAAATTTATTTACATTTTCATTTTGTTTCTTTCTTTTTTTTAAATTCAAATTTCATTTTATTGTTTATCTTAATTGCAATCTTTCAATTTTATTTTAATAATTTTTTTTTGTATTTTTATATTCATCTATACTTATTAACTTATTTTGATATTTTTTTAAATATGTTTTCAATTTTCATAAATAAAACAGGCATTTCCAGTTAGTTTTTCTATGATAATAATGGGCCACCATACTCAACTATGAAAACAGTCGTTCTTTTTTACAGCTATACAAACATGAAGGAGAAACTGATCGCAAAACATGCGACAGAATTTTCTGGCCACCTCTGTGTTGTGGACGAGAAAAAAGAAATCCAAATGTATCCATTTTGAGCTCACTAAAATTCCGCAATTCAAGTCTCCAGATGGGTAAACGCAGTTTTTGTTTGACAATTAAAAAAATATGCTACACATGGCTCAGAGCAGAAATTTTCAACTGGGTTACTTTGTAGCAGGACAAGTCAACAAACCATTTTACATAGTTGACCAAAGCACTATCCCCCAGTTTGCGTATGGTACAGGTGAATGGAAAATCGATTGTGGGTTGACCCTCACGTCCAATGC